ATGCAGATTTACTGGTTGCACTGTTGTAGGGGGGTCAGATGCATGGGATAGGTTGGATGGGGACGTGATAAAGTGCAAGGTCAACGGAACACCGTATACGGAATTGAAGTTGTTGAGGAGGCAAAGTGAAATTGAAGCAGGAGACCAGGTTGCCCAAAGTTGAGCGAATACTCGAGTACCAAATATCTCGTCCCAGAAACGGTTGGGGGCAGATGAAAAATTTGCTCGTAGTTTTAATTACGGCCTCGAGTGGGCCAGGGGTTGCGGTCGAGACTCTGAAGAAAATAGTGGCGGGAGTGCCATCACACTGGTTATGACAGTGCCATGTCAACATTGCACTGACATGCTTCGGTTTATGGACAGTCCCGTAACGATCGTCAAGGGTTTGGCGATTGGGGAGGGGATACGAGTTTCCGTGGCAGCTGCCCAGTAAGCACGTCACCGAGACACCACCGGTGGCAAGAGGTGGCACATAGGGCTGGCATGTTACGCTTGCCACCCATGGCGCCACCGGTGGCTAAAAGCGGCCAAAGGTGGCACCCCAAAATTTCATGATATACTTAATCGGTGGTGCATTCAAACAAATCGGTTCCAAAAATTACTTCGTAAATAGAGCTCCAGTATCCAGAGTACCCTGTTACATTTGTTTTCAGAAGGCTTTTATGCAACAAATGCTATGTTTGGCTTGTATTCACAAACAAAATTAGTGGCAAAGCTAGCCACCTTTGGCCACCGTTAGCCACCGGTGGCACTGTGTTTACTGGGTGGATCTGGGTTAGACTTTGAGATTGACACAGATGGAGTGAGGCCGATGCAGGGTTACGGATAATTTCCCGTTTGTTGGAGGACCGTGTGATGGTAGACCGAGGACCAGCCAGATTGAATGAATAATAGTTCTACGGAGCGTTTGGGCAACTGCGTGCGAAGTTTGAAGCTTGGGGGGCAATGAGGAGGGGAATGAAAGCAGAGGTGTGTGGCGAGTGTCACGAGGCGTAAGATACAACGGTGTCAGTAGAAAAATTCTAAAATGGAATGGCAGAAAGCTAAATGGACCCAGGAAAGGCGGATATGGTTGTTGATCTAGAAACCAAGTATTAGTTGGGCTAGAGTAGGTGCCTAGTTTTGGGAAGTTGGGAACGTCGTGGGGTAGCTTGCGGAGAGGCTAGCTCTATGACTAGTTGGAACTAGGGGGCACTTTTTAGCTTACCAAAAAATCACGAACTAGGGTCGCTGTTGTGCAAAAGAATGGATTATTGTGATCAGTGACAGTAGACAGGTAAAAAGCGGACAGGTGACAGCTTCCCAGATATTGGATGAAAATCGTGGATTAACGGAGATCTACTAAGTTAACCTAACAGGAAATTTAGACTGAGGATCACCAGTCGCCGAATCGCTGCTGTCATTTCCAGTAAACGAATGGTGTATGGCAGAAACAGTCATTAGGTGCTAGTTGCGACTGCTTGTAATCAGGAAGTGATGATTTA